CCACAACTTTGGGTTATAATGGAACGGCTGCAGTAGAGGAGACTGGTGATGAATTCTTTTTGCACTCACAACCTATACATTTTGCAAACAAAAGGTTTTATCTTTTTGTTTATGCATGCCTTCTAATTTTCCATGCAGGAAGTTCCGGAGGGACGGAAGGAGAGCGCTGGGGGGCCATGGCAGTTCATTGCTCTCCTCCCTTTGTTTGATCCACCTAGGCACGACAGTGCTGAGACTATAAGGAGGGCTTTAAACCTTGGAGTAAATGTCAAAATGATCACAGGTATCATGTGCTTTCTCAAATTATTAGACAGTTCCATTCAATGTGTTGAGATGTTTCCAGCAAATTGTATGCATATTGTGTTGGCAACTCATTTGATGGCTATGATTCCTACTGCCCTTCCCCTGGGTCTAGAGAGTGTTAGAGAAAATAGTGTATTGGGTGAGACGAGAATTCTGAAATATGGTAATGAACTTCTCTACGAATCCTTGGTCGAACATGATTGGCAAAGTTGGATCTATGGATACTACTCCTGATTCTGCCTTGGGAAAGTTAAATGCTGCCCTTTTCCTTTTCTTTTTATAGTATCCTATTTTGGGTGAGGACAATTGATAAGAGTAGGATTGATGGTGAAGGCACTACTCTGTCTGTGGCTGCTTGAAGTTGTCATGATCTACCTGTTTCTTGCCATTTCATTTTAATTTGGACATCAACCTGTATTTTCTTATATTGCTTTCCATTGTAGAAATTCTGAGATTTAAATATTTGGAGGAGGTTGTGAATCTTAGTGTATCACTTAAAAGTTTAGCGTGCTTATTTGGTGCTCAATGGTTTAGTTTTTGTACTTCTCCAGGAGATCAATTGGCAATTGGAAAAGAAACTGGGCGCCGCCTGGGAATGGGTACAAATATGTATCCTTCATCTGCTCTGTTGGGACAGACGAAGGATGAATCAATCGCTGCTTTGCCAATTGATGAACTTATAGAAAAGGCTGATGGGTTTGCTGGTGTTTTCCCTGGTATTCATTTTTTAAATGATTCTTTTGCTTATGTAGTTGTGCTCTACGTATAGAACTTTGGGTTATAAAAAACAATTGGCCTTTGCTGATACCTTGTTGTGGTAATTTATATAGAGCACAAATATGAGATAGTAAAGCGCTTGCAAGCTAGGAAACATATCTGTGGTATGACTGGTGATGGAGTCAATGATGCTCCTGCTCTAAAGAAAGCTGATATTGGAATTGCTGTTGACGATGCAACTGATGCGGCTCGCAGTGCTTCTGATATTGTCCTTACTGAACCTGGTCTTAGTGTCATCATTAGTGCTGTTTTGACCAGTCGAGCAATCTTTCAAAGGATGAAAAATTACACGGTATTCTATTTTCTTTTTGGGGTTGTTTCAGTAGTATAAGATAAAAATTACTTCCAAGGACAATTCCTTGAATTCTTAAATGAGTTTACTGTTCTTAACCTGTCGTTGAGCTATGATATGGATAACTCATCCGATTGTGTATATTTTGCATTGGCAGATATATGCTGTTTCCATCACAATCCGTATTGTGGTAAGTTATTTGCAACTGCTTCATTCTTTTATCTTGTCTATCTTATGTTCAGGATCAAATGCATCTTGTACTTTTTTTCACCTGTTTCTTTTATTCAATGTTGTCACAGCTTGGTTTTATGCTTCTGGCTCTGATCTGGAAGTTTGACTTTCCGCCTTTCATGGTGCTTATCATTGCAATTCTTAATGATGGTTAGTCTTTTCACCATCAGAAATATATCTGATACTTGAGCATTTAAAGTCCACCATATCGACCTCTAATGGAGGATAATATTAGAAGTGTAGGATAAGTTCAAAACTGAAATATTATAGCCTAATTTTGGTGTGGTTGAGTCTTTCTGTGTGTGCAGCACCTCTCTGATTTAAATACTCATGCTAGTATCATTTTTCGTTTCTGCTCAAGTCCTTACACAGTGTTGCTGATATCTAACCACCAAACACTGACAATATCAGGTACCATTATGACGATATCGAAGGATAGGGTCAAACCATCTCCTCTGCCTGATAGCTGGAAACTGGCTGAGATTTTTACTACTGGAGTTGTTCTTGGTGGCTACTTGGCAATGATGACGGTCATTTTCTTTTGGGCCGCATACAAAACAAATTTCTTCCCGGTGAGCCCACCTTTATCCAATACATTAAAATTTCTGTCAAGGATTTTTGTGATTGAGGCCTTCCCAAATGCTGACTGCTCCAAATTAAGTTGCCCTTTTAGTTTAAGAAGGGACACATTTATATAAAACAGATGCCGATGATCTTTTTAGTATATGGAAATAGACAATACATCTCCAGTCTAATTTAACCAAGTGTATGAAGGATATATCAAAAGCAATCTGCAGACGTACAACTACACATTTACCGGCCTTTTTCATCTTGCAAACAATAACATAAATCTTTGGTCTCACCTGTGCTTGTGTTCTTTTTCCTTGTGATAAACAAAATCTTGTATTTGTTGTTCGGAGTATTTAGATGTTGAAGTAGGACATTAATGTTTTGCAACTCTCTGTTTAATATCTAACTTAATTCGGTGAATTTCTAGCGAATATTTGGGGTATCAACACTTGAGAAAACAGCAACTGATGATTTTAGGAAGCTCGCCTCTGCGATATACCTTCAAGTAAGCACTATCAGTCAGGCCCTGATATTCGTTACAAGATCTCGAAGTTGGTCGTTTGTGGAGCGTCCTGGGTTGTTGCTAGTGTTTGCCTTTTTCGTTGCTCAACTGGTGAGCAGTCTGGTTTTTAATCATTCTCTCAAAGTTCCTCTTAACTTCATGGATCATCTAATATTTGGGAACTAAATATGCACAGGTTGCCACCTTGATTGCTGTTTATGCAAATTGGAGCTTTGCTGCAATTGAAGGAATTGGCTGGGGTTGGGCTGGAGTTATCTGGCTTTACAATATTGTTACCTATATCCCACTAGATTTGATCAAGTTCCTCATCCGTTATGCTCTCAGTGGGAAGGCCTGGGATCTTGTTCTTGAGCAAAGGGTATGAATTGGGAAGAACAAAGATATACTTAAGAATCATTCCCACTCCTATACCTATTATTATCTTATTGGTATTTGATGGTCTCTTTATTGGTTTTTTTCCCTCTGCAGATTGCTTTCACCCGGAAGAAGGATTTTGGAAAAGAACTGCGCGAGCTTCAATGGGCACATGCACAGAGAACCCTTCATGGGCTCCAAGTTCCAGACCCCAAAATATTTAGCGAAACTACCAATTTCAATGAGCTTAACCAGTTGGCTGAGGAAGCGAAGAGGAGAGCTGAAATTGCTAGGTTAGTATGTCATTTGAAATGGTCTCATTTTGAGAGCGATAAATCGTAGCTGAATGTGAACTGGAACTTGCATTTGCTGGCATTACACATGTGACCATTTTATATAATTGCAAAGCTGATATTTTTCAATTGCAGGCTACGTGAGTTGCATACACTGAAAGGTCATGTTGAATCAGTTGTGAAGTTGAAGGGTCTCGACATTGAGACAATTCAGCAGTCATACACCGTTTAAAGGGACCCCCTGAAGTTGTAAGCAAACTGTTGGTGTCGTGATGGGAGCGAAGACATCAAAACGCTAGTACCGAGTTTACCCATTAAACAACATCTACATAGGTAGTTAGATTAGGGGAGTAATATTTTTGAAGTTGTTATTTTGCTGTTTCCTGGAGCCTTCATATCCTATAGCTCCTGTACATGTTGTAGTGACCCAGAAATGGTGAACATAAGGTTATATGCTAGTACCCGTTTTCTATATTCGTAAAACCTTTTTTCTCATCTTACATTATGTTGTACTTTCCCCTTTCAATTTCTCCACTTCATATAATACTACTAGTATGACAAAAAGCTCTTCCCCACACTTTTTTCTAACCATCAATGCTTTCTGTCTAGTGCGATTTACTTTTCTGGTGTGGTTTGCAGGTGGTTGAGAAAACTTCTTTTTTATAATTCCAGAATTAGGTTATTTGCAGTTGGAAGAAAGTACCATTCTTTTTCATACTTCTATACAATCATTACAATATGTTTAGTAATTTGTTGTGGAAAAACCACAGAGCAAAAGATACTAACTACTGCATTAGAATCATAAAAAAATAATAAAAATTGAATAGCTAACTGGCATTCATCCATCCAAATTCCAATCATTTAGAAAATAAAAGAGAAGGGTCAAAAATATATCCCAAACTTTGACTTATTGTTTAGATTTATCTTGCCTTTAAAATAAAATTAATTTTATTCTTTCCGTTACTAATTTCATCAAATTTATCACTTATTAGACGGATTGATTCAAATTGACTTGAATTTTTTTTTAAAAAAAAATCATATTCCTTATTTTAATTCAATAATCCAACCCGTTCTCCCAAATCTCCTATGCTCATTTACTCATTCTCCCAAATGGCTTCACTAGTTCAATTCCTTCCTCTCTTCGCTTTCTTTTTCTTGATTTCTTTCTCTGTTTCTCATGGACCCTTTTTACCAAAAATAATTGAGGTTCTATATACACAATTATTCCCAAAATATGTCTGAAATAAATAACTTTTTCCCCAAATAAAAAAAGAATTGAAAAACTTGTTTGGAACCTTCCTTCTTTGGTGCACGGGTAAAACCCACCAAAAGGATTGAGAATTTTACCTCCTTCAACTTTGGATCATAAGGAGCAGCATATCGATTGCCTTGACTCTTAAATGGTAGGATTAGCACTTCCACAATTGCATACATTTGCCCGTGTGTGAAATGTATACAAAGGAATTGAACTAGTGAATCCATTTGGGGGAATGGGTTGAGTTATGGAATTAAAATAGATTTTTTTAAAAAATAATTTGGTTCAATTTGGATTAATCCGTAAATTTGATAAAATTAATAATGAGAGGGGTAAAATAAACTTTATTTTAAGGATAAATAAATCAAAATTAGAGGGTATTTTTGATCCTTTTTTTTTAAAAAAAGCTGGTCAATTCATTTGTCATTTTTAATTAATTTGAGAACTGAGAGATGTTTTCGGCGAAATGGTCTCCAGCAATTTATTTAAAGGGAAAACTGAAAGGAAAGAGATTTATGTATGGATAAAATAATGGAAGAAGAGGATTCTTTTCATTCAAATACTGATGCAATCATTTACCCTATCTCTGATGTTTCACAAAGCTTGTTGTCAGATCCCAACATTGCCTCGTCGCCTTCGACGAGTGCTGACGACCAACAGCAGCAGCCGCACCAGTGGACTACTGCTGCGGCTGCTGCTGTAGGTTACAGTAACGATGATTTGAGTGTGTCTGTATCTGTATCAAGTGCATGTTCCAGGATTAGTTACAAACAAATTGACAAGGACCAGATTGATGTTTCAAAAGCAAAGGAACGAGTCCAATTACCCAAAGACTTCACTTCTTCAAGAAGTCGCATTAAGGTACACAAAAATAGTTAAACTATTACGATTGTTAGTTTAACATGTAATTACAAATACTTTTTTTGTAAAAGAGAATATAAAAATATACAATTTATTAACGCGATACTTTAAGATATTGAGCTTACTTAACTAGGTGCATATGCAAGGGGTTGCTGTTGGACGATCGGTTGACTTGACTGTATTAAGAGGTTATGATGAACTTATCAGTGTAGTTGAAGAGATATTTGATATCAAGGGAGAACTTAGCCCTAGAATCAAATGGCAACTTGTCTACAGGGATGATGAGGGTGACATGATGCTTGTGGGGGATTACCCGTGGCCGTTAGTCTCTTTTGCTCTTTTAATGACCCGAACTTATAATCTTTAGAATTGAAAACGCGATAACTTACCATTTAATTTCTTTTTATTGCAGGGAGTTTTGTGAGATGGTGAGGAAGTTATATATATATTCGAGGGAAGAAGTGAAAAAGAAATATTCTTGACGCAAGTTATAAATTTGGTGATCTAAAAAAAAATATAGTACTACGATTTGTTACATCAATTTATCGCCATGAAGAAAACCATTCTTGATCTTGAATACTTGAAATGTGTATAAACATATGCTTAAATATAACTTGTAAAGTATAGTAAGTGCTTACAGTAAACTAAACTTTTATCATTAGAAGGTGAAACAAAACAGAGTGTTTGTCCATTGAGAAAGTATTTCATAAATCATCTATCAGTTGGCTAAAATGTGCTTCTAATACTACTAATATGATTTTGATATAGTTGATACACTTCATCTTCCCATTTAAGGAGGGAGCGCGAATTTCAGGCTATTGGTATGAGATACTATCCGTCAAACAAAGTGTTTCCTTTCCATTTCCAATTCTACAGAGCTTGTGTCATCACTTCCCTTGTACTTGTACCACCTAGCACATATTATGAAATACACAACATTCATGATTCCCAGCGCGGTAATTAAGAAATAGAAGTAATCCAATTTCCCCTTGTTAAGGTCTTCGGGTAGCCAATTGCCTGTTTTCGCCTTTCCTGTTGTGTTGTGCACAATATAGATCAATAAACTGTTCAAGTAACTCGAAGCAGCCATTCCCAAGAAGAGGAAAGACCCTGCTATGCTTCTCATATTTTCTGGGAACTGTTTGTAGTAGAATTCCACTTGTCCAATCGCGCAAAATGCCTCTGCAAGTCCTGCTAAGGATAACTGAGGAACCAACCATAAAGCTGACATGGAAGAAACTAGTCCTCTTTCTGAATGTAGCCCTAATGCTGGATTTGTGAAAACTAGGTTTCTCCTTCGTTTCTCGATGAATGCAGATACGAGGGATGACAGAACAGTGAGGAATATGCCAAATCCCATTCTTTGAAGGATTGTTATGCCACCTTCTTTTCCAGTGATTCTTCGGAGTAATGGCACGACTATACGGTCATATATGGGTATCCAGAGAGTGAGACTTAACATGGAGAAAATAGTGTAAGTTGCTGCTGGAATTTGGAAGTTGCTGGTGCCAACATGTCTGTTTGATTGAAGGGCTTGGTAGACAACAAATTGTTGCTGCTCAACTATTGCAACATGATATATAATTGCTGCAGCCCAAATAGGAATTACTCTAATAACACATTTAGCTTCTTGCACTTGCTGCAGACTGCATAGGTTCCATGGATTTACTGCTGATCCATCTGATTTGATTTGGTCTTCTGGTGTTACTATTGCAGCCTTGTCAAGAAACCTTGTATCGTAGTTTATTTAAAATAGCTAGTTAAATCGTACACAATCTGTTTCAATATATCTATCTAATTTTATCTTTGATATCAAAACTAAAGATGTGTTGATCAGAATATATGTGTAAAGAGGCCTTTTCTTTTAAACGAACTACTAAAAAAGTAAGAACATGTAGAGTAATAGACAAAAGAAAAAAATTTACTATTAATGATTAAATTAGGTCAGCTAATATGGCTTTTTCTATATAACATATATGATATGTACTTTAGTATTAAGACATTGACCAACTTCCTAGTCCATGCACCCAATACCATGAAATATCTTCTATGCTATGGTTTTTTTCTCTTTGCTAATCTGACACCTGTGAATACAAGGGCCTACCATGTGATTACACATATTGGTTTAAATGATAGTGAAAGCCACTAAATTGTGTTTCTTAGTTGTGTACGTAACCATATGTGAATAGTGGATAGTTGAAAATTGGCACCAACACTACACCATGTATTTCACACTAAGTCAGCTAAAATGGAGATGACAAAGGTAAAACAAAGTCTTCATATTTGGCTAGAAAAGGTTCATTCCTTCTAATTTAGTAGTATTCACAATGTAGTTTTAGAGCTTTGTAAAAGTCGTGTGTAGGAGGAGAATATGTGAGACATGTGTGTTACGTTAATACTTGTGCGCACCTTTTTGTAATCCGAGTGAAATGTGAGGTTATTTCTTTCAATATTTTATATTATACTTTCATATTTATGTAGTGAATTATGGACGTAAGTTCGATTGATCGAACCACATTAAATGTTCGTGTCTTTTGGTATATTTCTCTTCTGTCTTCTCACTCATAATCTTTCAAGATTTGCTTTCTTAGCTTTTGCATCACACCTAATTAATTATTTCGAATAGTAACAAAATGATTCAAGGCCATTTCAGGAAACTATAGGTTTAAAACTATTTCACTTCCCAAAAAAGAGAAGATATTGAAGTAATTATTCTGTTTATAAAAAAGTTGTGGTTTGAGTGACAATTGATTCTGGTAAGTCATGTAAAATGAAACATGAAACTAACTAAAGAAAACAGGTGTAATAAAATGCTGACAATTCATGCTTTTTTTTAAATTCCATCCTAATTATAGTTGCCATGTTAAATTTTCAGGCCAAGATCACAGTTTTAAAGTTGATTGGCATATCTAGAAAAAGCTTAACTGCACTAATATAAATAACAAATCAGGTCCATAAATTACTAATTAAATTAATGGAGTCATATAGCAGACACTATGAAGATTAGTTATACCTAATGAACATGCAATATGCATAGTGTACTAACATGTGCCCTGCTGAATATTCAAGAACCTATTTCATGAGGAATGACAGTTACTCTGTGTCAATCCAATGAAGATGTAAGAGATTGAATCACAATTAACTATTAATAAAAGCAATACTAGTACTAGTTTGATCATTTTTATTACCTGAATTGATGAGTGTAAGGCAGCTTGGAATTGATGGACTTGAGAGGAGTGTAATTGAAGAGTGATTTCCAAGGTTGCTCTGGTAACTTTAGCCTTCTTTTCTTGATAGAAACGACCACGACTTGTGCTATACTTGTCAACGGACTTCCCTCTGGTTTCACTTTTACATAAATTTTAGTGCCACCAAAGAAGAGGAAACATGAAATCAACATGAACATTGCAGGAATGGCTAATCCGATGGACCAGCTTATGTCGGATTGCACATAAACCACAAGTGTCACAGACACCATTTGTGCAAATGTTAAGGTGAAAAAGTACCAATTAAAAAAACTATTGATACCCCTTTTACCAGACTCTGTATTAGGATTGAATTGGTCTGCACCAAAGGCTAAGTTACATGGCCTAATCCCAGCTGCTCCTATAATCAGTAGCCCGAATCCACTCAACAAAAAAGCCATTTGCCATCCTGTTGGTCCTATACATTGACTGATATCTTTAGATTCACAGTGAGGAGGATGCAATTTCTTGAATACTGCTGTTAATGTTATCACAAACAACCCCTACAAACAAGAAAAAAAAAAAACTAAATCAAACATTTCAAGATCAATTTTCTTTTTTTGCTTCCAACTTTTGGTTCTAATTCGTACCAGAAATGAAGTAATGGATGAAAATCCCAAAGTCTTGTAACGACCGAAATAAGTATCCGATAAGAAAGCTCCAATCAAAGTGGCGAAATTTGTTGTTCCATTGAAAATATTGATCAGAGTAACAGCTGAGATATGCTTCAAGTTGAAAACTGATGTGAGGTATATCAACAAGTTGGACAGTGTCCCAATTGCTCCAAGTTTCTCAAAAGTTTCATTTCCTATAATAATGCGAATTGTTTAACTCAAGTCTTAAAATCTACAAGATAGCTAGAAACAAGAAAATCGCTTACCAATGATAAATGGCATGGCTTTCACTCCTCTGTAGTTAATTGCAGGCTCTTTCTCACTATCCTCATCTCTAAAACTTGTTATTTTCTTTTCCATTGCTTCTATACTATTTGTGACTCTATCCTTAACTGCTGCTTTATATACTCCTTGGGAAGCTGAAATGGAGCATAAAGTAGCAGCAGGTACAGTTACAGATAAATAAAAACTGGTTGCTACTTTTTAACCAACCACAATCCTAATTTATTTTTTCTGCTACTTTTCCTCAGATCTAGCTCTAGAAGGCACTCACTTTGTTGTACGTTATACTCTCTTCGTCTCAAAATAAGTGTGATTTTATATTCAATAAAAAATCATTAAAATGCGATTATGCACCTTTGTTAAATAAGTATCTCTTGAAAAATTGAACACGATTGAGAAGATACTATACTTTGGAAGAAAACATACAAACTTTTTTTTTTTCTTGAACTACTAAAATAAGCACTTATTTGGAGATAATTTGATTTTGCCAAAGTAACACTTATTTTGAAACGAAAATAGTATTATTATTTTTTAATTATAAGGGTGAATCTTGCGGGTTTATAAATAATAATACAAATTCTAATCAAACAGCAACTATTTTAACTTGTACTAATGATAGATGTAAAGTTTAATTCAAAGACGTGCAGTCAACCCCGCGCTTAATGATTTTCTAAAGATAATGAAACAAGTAGGGACGATGTTGATATAGATACACCCTTCAGTGAAGGATGTCATATTGATACTAACATATACACTACAAAAAATTTATCTTTTTTGTATGTGGATGGATTATATTTTATTTAAAACCAAATTTTAAACTTCATACCACTTGAAAATAAATATTAATATGAATAGGAATGGTAAATCAGAGAGTTAATCGTTAAATATATATTTATATCTTTTAAAAAATAACTATCAATTATTTTCTTTTTGTACGTGAATTGTTACGTAGTGAGGTAATCAAATTCCATTTGTTAACTTTCTTTCTCTATCTAATTCGTGTCAAAGACGTCAGTGATACAAATATCTCCACCATAATCTTATATTAAATGATTGACTGTAAATAAGGGAGTGATTGGCAGATCCAATTATACCAATAAAGTCTCCAATTTGGTCGAGTGAACATCTAAATCAGACAAGGGAGTAGGGACACACAAAATGCTCAGACTGGAAATCACTTTGGTTGTCGTTTTTGAGTTTGGTTCGTGGACAAAATTATTCCATAAAATTTATATGGTATTTGATCGAAGTAGAAGTTTAATTTCAAACTTAATTCTAAAATATTTATTGGATGGGTTGTTATTGCTGATCCTAGTATATTAACCTTATTTTTGTGAATTAAACTAGAGGATATGCTTAGTTGAAAAAAAATATTTTCGAAAAGTGAGTGAGTTTATTAGTCCACTAACTCATGCAGCTAGCACACATAAGGTTGCGTTTTAGTGGGGTTTTTTTTTTTTGGATAAAACTGTTAAAGAATGATAAAAGTCTCACGTTGGTGGTTAATGAGATGTATTAGATTTCTTATAAGACTTGGGCAATCCTCCTAGCTTTTGATGTGTGAGTTAGGTCAACACCTAATTTAATATGGTATCAGTGGCACCAGATGCTAAGCACTGGGGGTGAGGTAGGGTGTCAAAAAATGACAAAAGTCTCTGAGATAGATTGACTTCTTATAAGACTTGAACAATCCTTCTCCATTTAAGCTAGCTTTTTGGATTTGAGTTAGCCTAAAGACCTAATTTTACAAGTTTTAGATCCTATGCTATCTATAGCGGGTTCACGAAGGACCTCCAGCGATGTACTAGAGGAAATCAAAGTGCGGATGATGTCAATTCCTCGTGGCCTTATAGGCTGGCCACACGTGCTATAATAACACTGAGATGATTTCAAGTCCGCATGATCATATGAACTGGGTTACACACGTGCTACAATAATAGGGGATGATACCAAGTCTGCATGGCTCAATGAGTTTGGCCATACAAGTGCCACAATAACAGTGGGATGATGTCAAGTCTGCATGACCTTATGGGCTAGGCCGCACACATGCTACAATAATAGTAGGCCTAGGGTCATATGGCTACACACGTACTACAATAACAATGCAGATGATGTTAAGTTTGCATGGATCGATGAGTTGGGCCATACATGTGCCACAATAACAGTGGGATGATGTCAAGTCTGTGTGGCCCTATGGGTTGGGCCGCACATGTACTACAATAATGGTGGACATAGGGTCATACGACCACACATATGCTACAATAACAGTTGGGACGATGTCAAGTCTGCATGGCCCTATGGGCTGGGTCACACACGTGCTACAATAACAGTGTGGGATGATGTCAAGTCTTCATGGCCCTATGGACTGGGCCACATACGTGCTACAATAACAGTGGGCATATGGTCATACAACCACACACGTGCTACAATAACAGTGGGGATGAATTTGTCAAGCTCGCACAGCCCTATAGACTGGGCCACATATGTGCTACAATAACAATGAAGATCATGTCAAGTCCGCATGGTCCTATGGGATGCGCCACACAGTGCTACAATAACAATCATAGTACACGTGCTACAATAACAATTATAGTGGGAAGCAAAGTTGTAACGTGATAGATTTATTTGAAAATAGCTCCCCAACAAATAATGAAGTCGGTCTCAACCAACCGACCCAGACTCCTTTTTCCATGTGATTTTTTCATTACAATTATAGCCTCTAATATTTTCATTACAATTATAGTCTCTAAATAGACAACGAATTACGAATAATTTTCTCCTTTCTCCATAATATCCTCTTTAGATCCGTGTAGGTTTGTAGGTTGATGCAGTTTTATCTTTTCATAATGTTTAAGAATTTATTGACGTATAGCAATTGATAATGTGAAATATTTCTTAAACGGTTAGCGTATTTTAAATCAATTATAGCAAGTCAGTATTACAATATTCTTAGGTTACCAAAAAGCTCAAAATAGTCTCTCTTTTCTTTTATTTCTTTTTTTAAGACTTATGGCCATTTTTGAAATTTCATATGAAGCACTAATAATTTCTTATTTTTGTAATATTAATGCACTTTTAATTTGGTCCTTTCTCAAGTCTTTATCTATTTTTTAATATTGATTTTGTTCACAATTTTATACATAGAATATTTAATCGTCTTTTTAAATATATTTAGTAGAAAAAATAACTTCATGAGAGAGGACGTGAGAAGAAGTACACCTTGTTATGTTTAGTAGAAATATTATTGCAGCTAAATTCAAGAGATTAATCACGTTGATTTAATGTGTAAAAGTTTAAAAAAATTCTTACAACGTCATATGTCAAGGTATTCTTAATTTAGCTGCAAACAATTTTCTATTGTACAGAACTAGGTGTTCTTCTTCTTGTAAAAATTTTTTCTATTAAATATATATAAAAAGATGATTGAACATTTCATATATAAAACATGGACAACATCAACACTAAAAAATGGGGAAAAAATTGTGGGAGGAGCAAACCTGTATCTAGAACAACTTTAAATCTTAATCCATAAATAAGAGACTATTTTGAGTTTTTTCTCTTACAAGTTGTAATAAGTCATCTCAAACCTGATAATATAACTGATTGTACAACGTCCACCTTAAAAGTTAAACTAAGTTTGATTATGATACTTTACTTCTTTTTTTAGATGGTAAATTTCTTTTAGAGATCATAATATCTTAGTAGTGTATATATGTAAATTTTTTCATAAAAGTTATACTTTAAGTAGTTAAAAGTATAAATCTAATTTCAGATTTAATTTTAAAATATTTACTTAATATGTTTTTGTTATTATCGATATTATTGAACTCTAGATTATTCACCTCATCTTGTGTATCAAACTAAGAATATGTTCAAGTGGGAAAGAAAATAGGAGTTCCTTAGTTCTACTCATGCAGCACAGGTAAGTTGCGTCTTAGTTCTTTTTTCTGCTAGACAAGTTCTGGATCTATATACAAATAGGATTATTTCTTTTTTTAGGTTTGTGTAAGTTTATAGGTCGATTCAATTTTGTCTTTTCGTAACATTTAAAAATTTAACTTATATCAATTGATAGCGTTAGTGTATTTTAATTAGTTGATTATAGCAAGTCATTATAACAAACAATTTTTTAGGTTACCAAATTTAAATTAACAGGTTGTATAGGTCATGATAACGTAAATAATTGTACAATTTGCATCCACCTAAGAAGTTAAACTAGGTTTGAATATGATATTTTACTTCTTTGCTTAAAAAGTTTATACTGCCAAAATTCACTTTCATTTTTTCTCAAATATTTGTTTGAGTAATTTGAGTATGGATATTTACGTAGAGAGACAACAAATTGCATGTAGAGTATAGTTTATATGATACGTAACAGATTTAATACAGTAATACATTTGTCCCAACAAACAAATAATTTGAATATTCTTTAGAAAAGTACATAGAACTTCCATTATCCAATTAATTAAATACATACCATTAAGGAGTAGTATTAGTCAACTAAACTAAAAAATTGCAAGTTGCACTTTTGATATTTCAAGTAGCACATTGGGCTTCATTTAAGGTTGTGGTCCCAAATTGGTAACAGTACTTTATTGCTTTTGTATTCATATTTAAAATGTTATTTTCTGTTGAGCATTGTCTGGAATTGTTCTAGAAAGAATCTTTAGTCAAATAGTCGGTCAGATTCATCAATCATGTTTAGTTGAAGTAATTAAATGATAATTATTTAATTATTTTTTAATTGTTATTTTAGATTAATTCTTTGTCAAACATAAAATGATGAAGAATAACAAAAGTGCTCCCCCAATTAATTAAAACTACTAATTATTAAATTTGGAACACAAATCTCAGAAAAATACTGATGAAAGATGACTAGCTTAACTATTGGGCCAGGGTTCTTCGGACCTTGGGTCATTGGGCCCTAACTTCTGTATTTCGTCATGCATGCGTCATGGTGAGATTCGTACAGCTCCTATTTTGGGTGATTTTTAATTTTTGCCTTTCAAATTTATGATTTTAATTTTTTTTTATCCTTCAACATTTGAAATAATAAAAAAATGATCAAAAACATCATTGACATAAAAAAAAAAAAAGATAATTGTATATAATAACAAACTAATAATCTAAAATAAATGGAGTAGCTACTATTTGATTTAATTGTATCTCATAGCAAAAGTTTGCCAAAGTTTGCCAGTCGTCTCTCTCCTAAAACTCTCGCTCGTCACTCTCCCATTCTCGCTCACCTCTCGCTTTTTACAACATAAATGTATAAATTATGTTTCTATTTTATATAAACGAGAGAAAATTGTATATACACATGCAAAAACATATATCTTTGTGTTATACACTTAATTATACAATTTACAAACATCTTACTTCGATTCAATTGTATACAAATGCAAATTTTATACAAATAATGCAGCAAAAAAGGCCAGCAAATTATACAATTGCAGTGAGATACAATTTTCTCTCGCTTTATACAATAGAAGTGTATAAATTATGTTTCTGTTTGTATGAAGCGCGACAAAAACATATATCTTCTTCCTATACACTTATAATTATCAATATACAAACATTTTACTTCAATTAAATTGTATGCAAAGCAAAATTTATACACATATTGCGCATTATACAATTGCAGTGAAATAGGCCAGCGAATTATACAATTTAGGTGAGCGAATCATACAATTGTATATATATAGCGAGGTCAGTGAATTATACAATTTAGGCCAGTAAATTATAAATTGTATATGTATAGCGAGGCCAGCGAATTATACAGTTGTATATGTATAGCAAATGATACAGTTATATGTTTTCTATGGAGCACAATTATGTAAACTTTATAATAGCATACAAATATAATTTTTTTATTTGCTATATGTGAAATATACCCAAAATAATATAAGACATTAGTCGATGTTTTCGTATCATAATATAGTACAAGGTACTATGTCTTACAACACATAACAAGTTAATGATAGTTATGCCAGCAATTGGGTGCAGTTTAGAAAAAAGTTACGAGGTATAACTTAGTTCCTATCGGACATAACTTATTCTATAGGATTTGATAAGATAAAAGTTCTCTAAACTTATTCCGAGTATATTACTTAGAATTTAAAATTACATATTTTAAAGCCTTTTACCTTAATATTGAGACTTCTTAACATGAATCCATATTTAATCAAATTCAATGTGAGTATTAGAAATCAGATTGAAAAAAAAAACTATTTTGATCATTAAGTATGGCCAATCGTAGTCTCATGAGTGAAATTTGGTATCACATTAATCAAGTATACATTGCCATGGCTGAATTTATATGTATTTTTATTTAGAAGAAGAGAAGAGAAAATGCTTAATCAAACTAGAGGTTTTGTGGATTGTAATTTATCCATGGGGACTTGAAGATTTTGATCATTTTTTGTTCCTTTATACTTGTACCATTTGGCACACAGTAGAAAGTAACCAAAATCTAAAACCTCCAATGCAGCAACTAAGTAGTAAAAGTAATCCAATTTCCCCTTGTTTAGATCCTCTGCTAACCAATTCTCTGTATCTGATATTCTTGTTGTCTTGTGAACTATTGTTATCAACAAGCTACTCATGTAATTAGCCAATGCGAATCCACAAAACAGGAATGAACCTGCAAAGCTCCTCATGTTTTCGGGGAATTGCTTGTAGAAAAACTCAACTTGTGCTATAATAGTGAATGCTTCAGAAAGCCCTGCAAGTGCTAGTTGAGGTATCAGCCAATTAGCAGACATTGCTGAAATTCCGCCTCGTCTTGGTTCAATGCCTAGTGTTGGATGCCTAAGAGCTATGTCCCTTCGGCGTGTCTCCACTACAGCTGATACTAGCATGGTGAGAACTGCAATTACTAATCCGATCCCCATTTTTTGGAGGACGGTTATGCCAGCTTCTTTTTTGGTGATTTTTCGGAGAAATGGAACGATTATTCTGTCATAGATAGGTATCCAAATGGACAAACTCAACATGGAGAACACCGAGTAAGATGCTGCTGGGATCTTGAACTCACTGCCACTGAAAATACGCCTGTCGCTTTGCAGCGCTTGAAAGACTAGATAAGTTTGCATTTGGACTAAAACAACATAGTATACCAAACCTGCTGTCCATATTGGAAATACTCTTACAACACATTTCACTTCTTCCACTTGTTGGATGCTGCAAAGTCTCCATGGATTAGCTGCTGATCCATCTTCGTTTGTTTTGTCTTCGGGGCTTAAAATAGACGCTTTATTCAGGAACCTGTACAACCATAATTCTATCTTCTTTTAGTCTCAACTCCACAAAAGAAAAAATACGAAAAAAGGTCAAATGCTAAGAGGATCATTCATTATTATTACCTAAATTGATCAGTGTAAGGAAGTTCAGAGTTGATACTCTTGATGGAAACATGATTGAACAAGGTATTCTGTGGTTGTTCTGGTAACTTTAAGCGCTTTTTCTTAATTGCAGCTACGAGCACTTGCACCAAACTTGTCAAGGGACTACCCTCGGGTAAAATATGGACATAAATTTTGGTACCAACGAAGAAGAAAACGCATGACAAGAACATTAGAAATGTGGGAATAGCCAATCCTATAGCCCAACTCATATTCGACTGAATATAGACAATGACAGTCAATGATATCATCATGGCAAAAGTGAAAGTGAAGTAGTACCAATTAAAGAAGCTGTTAATTCCCCTTCTTCCTGATTCTGTATTGGGATTAAATTGATCTGCCCCAAAAGCTAAATTGCATGGCCTAATACCACTAGCACCTACTACTAGAAAACCAAATCCACACAGTAAGAAAGCCAATTGTCCTGTAGTTGGTTCAAGGCAAATGCTATTTTCTGCAGTTCCACAATGAAGAGGATGCAGTTTTGAGATCGCAGCTGTGAGCGTCAAAAACAACATCCCCTGTTTACACACAAAAAGAAAATCAAATTTTTTCCATGAATTGCAACATATAATGTAAGCATGTTATGTTTTTTCTTTTTGTACCGTGAAAGAAGATATAGAAGCAATTCCCAATGTCTTGTATCGACCTAAATAAGTGTCACATAAGAACGCACCAAGCAGCGTACCAAAATTGCAAGTACCATTGAAGACATTAACGAGATTAGTAGCATTAATTGACTTCATATGGAATACAGTGGTTAAGTAAACCAAGAGATTCGATGAGGTTCCAAGCGTTCCCAGCTTCTCAAAGGTTTCATTTCCTGCTAAGTCAAATTTTAATAAGAGGCCTAAACTAAACGTGAGTAGTACAACTTGAAATTGGAATCCATTTACCTATAATGAAAGGCATCGCCTTAATTCCTCCATACTTGTGTTCCTCTTTTACATGTACCTTATCCACTTCCATAGCTTCTCGTGGTGAAGTCTATAAAATTGATCCGATTTTTTTTTCCAGCTCTTCTAACTATAGTTTTAGTTGGGCAAATCTAAGAATGTACGAGAGGACAATTGATTTTCTTAGTTTGTTACTAGAGCTGAAGATAATAAGGAAGGTCATTTATATAAGGATTTGGCTATACGTCAAGTTGAAGTAGTTTCTCAAAATTCTTCATCTCTATCATTATTGGAGGACTATTATCGACATCATACATTTATTTTTTTGGCGTTGTCCTAGCCACATTTTGTACGGTGTGCGATATTTCACTTTTTTGGTTTATAGGCAAATTATTTTAATTTTTTCATGTTCGATTAATTAAATATTTTAAAATATTATTTTTCTTTAATTCGTGAAAAATGACTTCTGATTCTTATCATACACCTTAATGTAACACCTGATTTCTGCTCTTTCAAATACACATCGACAGATTGTGCACCTGTCCGACATATAATCTATGTTTTCTAAAACAAAAATTATGATATATATATATATAAATTGTTCTAATACAGTAGTACTTCATATGCAATTAAATATAGTATCTCCATCATCAATCAGTAGATTGCGCATGTTAATAAGTACATGAGTAGACGCAACATTTGAACCTAGACGTAACGAGCCCGGAGTATAAATGATAGTATTTTGGACCAATATAAAAAGGCTCCCACGCCTTCCTACTAATTAGGGGCCTCCCTCTCAGTACCCCTATCCTTGCCCTCAACTCCCACTGTTAACATTATTTCCACTCTACATCCTATTCCGTACTAGGGACGAGCTATTATAACATAGAGTTAAACTTATTAACTTCACATTTTTTTTGAAAAAATATTATAGAATCCTTACAAATTATACATTATATTATAATTCTATATAAATTATAGAATCCTTCAATTTACATGTACAACAATATAGTACTATATTCATACAGAAATACAACCACAAACTTGATCTGCTTTCGTGGTGACTTTGAGTTTAATTGTGTAAGTACGTACTATTCCTCTGTTTCTATTTAGTTGTCCATTTTAAAAATGACACAAATATTAAGATAACAATAATTAGTATAGTAAAATTATAATTTTATCCTTATTAATTATGGTTACAAAAATAATGAATTAAAACTTGAAAATTTTCAAGAAGTTTAAATAAGGATATAATAGGAAAAAAAATTTTATTCTTTTTTTATTTATCAAAATGGACAAATAAATAGGACAACTAAAAGAAGAAATATGGACGAGTAAATAGGAATAGGGAAGTATATTAGAGGTAAAAGCAGGGGCAGGGCCACCTTGGGACTAGAGTTTGATAAAAATATTTTATTAATTATGGTTAAGAATTATTATTTTTATGTATAGATGATAGATGTTGAGCCCCTTCTCTCACTTAATTAGTGTATTTACTTTTTTTCGTATTTTGAAATTTCTTATGAAAAATCATGCTCCGTCAACGAGGAAAAGCCAAAATTTCTGTGATGTTTACTTCTTTTTATTTTTTTCGATCATTTTTATTTATTCAGTTTAAAAAATCAAGACATAATTTATTACTTAATTTTTTAATTTATTCTTATTGTTAACTATAGTTATTTTTCAAAACACTGAATTTATTATAATTAATCGTTGATATAATATAATCATCATGTTATTTGTTATTTCTTAAATAAGTGCATATCAGAAATGAATGGATAAAAATGTACAAATATAAATATCACGTTGGCTATTTTAAAGGTTGATCAGTATTTAAGTTTAGCGTAAGTCGTTAAATCTGATACGATGTGAATAGAGCCAAGAATCATAAATATGTGGCTGTGAAATCTATTTGATAAGGTTAGGCTAACTTTGTAGCAGCTTCAGCTGATCTTTATCATAAAAAAATTGTATCTTACTCAAGTTCATACGAGAAAATCAAATAGCCCTTAAATCGATATTGATTTTCAATTTTTATATGAACATCTGAAGCATGAATAATAAGGCGAAACAGTTAAAATATCGGAAAAAATAAATAAGCCGGTATGAGCTTGGTTCTAATACAGTAATAAAATAACCAATTTTGGTATACAATCAAAATTGGTGCTAAATTTGTCCTTGTTGGAAAATATTACGCGATCGTATCCACCCACAAAGGGGTGCCTGTTAGATGGCCCACTAGCTTATTATATGGAAATAATTATCGAAATTTCACCTTGTAGTTTACTTATTATCATTATTCCTCATAAGTTTAATATATCTTCAAAATCTCTCATTTTTTTATTAATGTATCTGACGCTTCATTAATGTAACTAGTCTTCTTTTTAATGTATTAGCGCTTTGATTTTTTGGTCATTAGTGTATCCAGCCCTCTTTTTTAATGTATCAGCGCATGTATCGGTCTTTTTTTTAGTATATCAAAGCTTTTTTGGCCATTAATATGTTCGATCCTCTTTTAATTTATATTATTTTATTCGTTTGAGAGATTCTGTAATTATAAACTTTTAGAAAATAGATTGTAATTTTATCTTAAAAATATATAATTTCTGTAGTTTGCCTTTTAATTTATTCATTCAAATTAAATCATAAAGCTAGCCTATAAACATTATTATGAGTTTTTAATAAATGTTTGAGTTTACTCATGAAATCAATTTTTACAATAGATTTGAGGATTCCTAACGTCCGTGATTAAAAAAAATGTGGTTGTTACAAATTCGTTTCTGCTATGGAGAAACCTACAAATCTTATAAGCTACTTTTTTCGTCAACAATTGTTTGGCTAGTACATTAAATGTCTAAAATCAATTGTCAATTTGAACAATCAAAAAGTAATTATTCATTTTTTCCAATTATGTCCTTAATAATTATTCAATTGAAAAGTTATATATCTTGTGTTAAAATTTTTTTGAAAGAAGTGCATGACCTTAACCTGATAAACAATTGTGGACAGAGAGAGTAGTATTTAGTGATTCAAATACTTGAGTATCTTCCATATTTGTTCTATTCCAAACCCTCAACCCCACACCTTTCCTGTTTAAGATAGTTAGATGTTTATTAATAAAAAAAAGTGTTGCTATATCGATGTTGCTATCGAGAGCCTTATAAAGCTACTCAAGGCAGTTGAGTTTTCTTTTTAGAGCCTAAGCAACGTGGTCCTTCAGCTAAGTTTGCATATGTAAGTCAATTATATATGAGAAAATGACAAGTAAAGCTAAACCAGTGTACAACTTTGGGCTACACCTAATAATACTTGTGTCATGTGTGGTTGCAATTCATTCATCTTAATTCCAAAAATCATTTCATAGTTTTACTTACAATTAAGTGTATCACTTTAATTTAATTGAAGTATTTCATGAGTGTTGTTTTCATATATTAATTAAGGTGGTAGACAGATAAGTTTTGTAACAAATATCCGTTTTGACATATGATGAGCTATCAAAGTTAGCAATCACCACTATTAAATTCTAAACTAAAACGAAGCCTTAACCGTTGGAATAATTGGCACTTCTTAAAAATATCTACAAAATTATTATTTGATGTAATACGCATATCGTCACCACCATTTCATCCAATAATAAATATTTTTATACTTGCTATGCTATCAAAGTCATATATAAATATAAACTATTATGGGAGTGCTTGGTATTGGTATGAAGATAGAAAAATGTTTTTTAATTTTTTCATATTTGGTTAGATTAAATATTTTCTAAATCAATTTGTTTTTCTCAAATTTAAAAAAAAAAATTTTGCTTAAAGATTTTAGAAAAACATTTTCTCAAAACTTTACTTCACCCTTCGATCACAATATTTTTTTTCTTACAATATCACATACCCGGTACCCAACCCTCCTCATCCAAAATAATATTTTTTTTTAAAATTTTATTATTTTTAAAATTTCGTATATTTTTTACGCCTGCACCCAAACCAACCCCAGCTCCCCCTCCCCAAAAGCTACCTCACGCCCAGGGCCCTACTCTGATATCATGTTGAAATTAGGTCTTGGCCTAACTCACACATCAAAAGCTGACTCAAAAGGGATGAAAATTGTTCAAGCCTTATAAGGAGTCTACCCATCTCATTAACCACCGATATAAGACTTTTGTCATTCTTTAACAAAAACATTCTCAACGAAAAACATTTTCTTTCGTACCAAACACACTGTTTATCGTGTTACTCTTCTATTTTTCAAATTTACTATGTTGGTTCAATGGCAAAGGTGGAACCCAATTAAGTTTTGCTCTGCCCTCCTCCACAACGTAACTCACAAGGATTTGAATCCCCTTGCCATCGTACGCTATCTACCGCAAATATTCTTCCACAAAGATATTACTATATAGTTATAAGAATATTGGTCCTCCTGCACCCAAATGGGAACGTGACGATGTGATATTTTCTACTAAACGATAAGCCAGCCTACCAAGTTTGAATATATATCTCTCATAATAAATTAGATATATTTCATACATTCGTTACATTAATTTATGGACAAACAATTGAAGGAAAATATATTTCAATCCATCACCTTCCTTCATCAGTCAGACAATTCAATTCAAATTATTTAGTTAGTTCTTAGCTAATTGGAGCAATAATTGGTTTAGGCAGCTTTCATTTAATTAAAATTAAAACATGTACATGATAATTTTTCTACAACGTAATTGAAAATTGACTTGAAAACGTGTTATAGTCTATTTAGAAGCTTTAGATAGAGATATATTGTCGTGTAGTTCATGAATCTTTCTCTATTATAAATAAATTATAATAAGATTGTAAAATATAAGTCGCACATATATATTTGGCATTGAGTATGGAAGTCGGTTAAATAGATTGTTTGTCATACATCACCTCAATAAATGGTCTTATCATTAGTTATTGCAAATGTTAACATATAGAAAAGTGTGCCCCTTATTTAATTAATCTTGTCTTGCCAATTTTCAGGAAATATTTGTTATGGACAATTAGAATTTTAATTGTATAAGTTTTGAATTTTAGAATGGTGCATTATTAGCGTCGCTTCAATAATTTTTTAAATTGGAAATGAGCTATATTGAATTTTTTGATTTGTTTTGTTCTTTTTGGGTAAATTTTCAAGGCAAAAAGTAATAAACTTATTAAAGATGGAGTTTTGTTCCTAAAACAAGCCAAGTCAAAAGTCTTAGCGGATATTTATATTTGTCCACATAAAAATTTATTTTGAGTGGGTTCATTATCATCACACAGCTAGTAAATTTATCGTAAC